AATAAGAACCAAGATGCATTATGTAAAGGTACAATTCCCAATGAGAAATGTAATTGTGTTGTATACCTACAATGTACCAATAAAATAATTTAATACAAAAGAAAAAACAAAGAAAAACAAAAAACTGTGCTCCACTGTGGCATTTTCAGGGATTCTATGAGAGCATACATGAAAAAAAATTGTGCTTTTCATTTTCATGGGATTTCCTAATAATTAATATAACCATATTGTTTTGACAACTTATAACCAAGATTATGCTTATGCGTAAGCTGGCACATACTGATCTTCTAAAGATGACAATATTTAACTTCTAATGTATAATTTCTGAAAGTAGGAGAGTGGGGACAAATTCTTAGAAGTATTTATGAAATGTAAAACTGGGGAACGTTCTGTTTCTATTTGACACATATAGATATTCAGTCCTATGAGGGCAAGTGATTCTTCTAAGCTTACGTGCTAGTGAGTGCATTTTTCAGCTCTCTCTGGAAGTCCTTATCACTGCCCCCATCACTGATAGAAGCAAACACTGGATTCCTCTTTGTCTTGCTGGGAGAGACCTCTACTCTACTCCCAGATGACAGGACTGGAGTTAATTCTTAATCATACCAGCAAGGCAGCCTCTCAATTCTTCAATCTTTCTTTTGTAGTCTACTCTTTTCCTTTGACCTCAGATCTCAGATATGCCATAGGCAACTTTAAGTGGCACCAAGAGCCTCTCATTGCTACATAAAACCTATGTAAATGTGGTTAATTAAACTGCTCAGAGACTGGACAAGACTCAGGCTTCATTATAGTTTTTGCAGTTTAATTCATAACGTGGAGCTCAGGGAGAAGAATATTAGCCTTCAACCCCTCCAGGCTCTATTGTGTACTCTTCCAACTAAGAAGGCAGGGCTGGCTTGAATTGGAAAGAGAAGGCTTAAGGTGACCATGAAATTATTTTGGTTTTCTCTAGGTTCAGTGGAAAATAGGGCACTTGAATGTCTCCTTTCCCTGAATTTTCTTGGCTTTTTCCATATGTATTTCATTTTGTTTTCTCTAATGCAGGTGTCTCTGGATGACAACTTCAAACCACACCTTACAGGGGGTTCCTGGATCCAGTCATTGGCTCCAGTCATTGGGATATTGTCCGATAGTCACATGCTTTCTGAATATTATTTGATAATCCCTTTCTGAAGTTTAATCAGGCAGAATCTCAGATCTTGTTGCATATTACAAATTTTTGTGGAGTTAGGGCTACAGTAGATTCCATTTTGTTTTTGTTTTTTTTGTTTTGTTTTTCAGTACCAGGGATCAAACTCAGGTCTTTGCGCTCGCGGGGCAGGTGGTGGAACCACTGAACTAAATCTCCGGCCCCCAGTAGATTCCATTTTGGAGTGGTAGTGGAGTTAAATAAAACAAAGCATCATCTTGAGAAAAGGTCTCTTATTCTTTTGTTATGATCTACAACTTACCATTCTTCCTGTGGCATCTGATGGAAATCTGGTCCTTACTGAAAACTGTCGGATAGGGTGCAGTCGAAGGCAGGAAGACTAGAGAGGTTGAAGAAGAAACAGTCAGTTGTGTGCTATCTTTTATGTAACCATGTAGCATGACAATGCTTTGAATGCACTGTATTCACATCCTCAGCCTTGGATCCTGGCCTCCAATTGAATGGGGACCAGTAGTTTTGTTTTACCCAAGCCTTGGGACTTCAGCTTTGAGAGTTTGACCTTCACTCAGGTCATCAGACACTGATCTAGACACCTAAATTGGTCAGCCTTCAAGATCAAACTCACTTTTCACTCTGTCTATAAAGTCCTTTTCTGAGCATACCAGTCCTTCTTTTCTCATAACTTTAAGAGCACTTCACATTTGGGTGCCTTTCTGTTTTTACCTCACATATAGCAAGCGTCCTCTTCAGTTCTGTGCTATTCACTGACTTCGGGTGAAGGTGAGATTTATTTATTTGTCTAGATTTTAAGCTCCATGAAGGCAAAAGCTATATCATATTCCCATGGTCCCTTTCCTAGTAGATTACAAGTGATCAGTTTTCATGCTTTGAGTTAATTGTGGGTAAACTACTATGTGCCAGGCACTGGGATAAGCAGAATCTAAAGCCCAAGCAATGCAAGATCAGTGATGAGGCAACAATCTTCCTTTTCAGAGCCTAGAAAGACTCATCCTATTTCACCAGCTGGCCAGTGCCTTGACATAAGGTCAGATCAGGAAGGAAAAAAGGTTTCAGTGGACCCTAGTGATTCCTGAAATGAATGGTTTAGACAAAAATGTCGATTCTTAGAACTCACCAGCAGAGCAGGGTACTACTGCCACACTAACACCCCCCCGCCTCATCAAATTAAATAAAACTTCAAACTTTGTGGGATTGCTAGCCATTTGGAGGAAATGAAAGGCTCTGAAGGAAACAGAGCAAGCCAAAAACACTCCCATCATCTTGCCAACTAAGATGTGTTCTCAGAGAGACGTCAATGCACTCTTGAGATTGGATTCTCTACTTTCAAGTCATAGACACTACCAGATTAGAAACTAAATGTCAGATCTGTGTCTCTTAAGTGGCAGTGGAAGCATTATAGGCACAGTGGGTACAGACTGGGAGGCTGTGGGCTGGTGCCATCTTCTTGCTGTCCCCTCCTTGGTACTTACTTGCTGAGGGAAGTCAGGCCTGATGCTGATGCATTGACTGTTCTGTCGAGTGAGGATCCGTTTCCTTCTCCTTTGTCTCAGCACCATGTAGATCCTGGCATAGACGAGGACAGTCACTCCAAAGGGCACATAGAAAGACACTACCGAAGAGTAGATGACAAAATCAGGGTTGGAGATGGAACAGATGCTGGGGTCTCCTGTGGATGAGAGAAGGGGAGAAGATAATGCAGTTTGCTATGGATTAGATCTCAGGAGGGAGCATATAGTACAGCCCATATGGCACATGGTACCTCTATCTCCAAATGCCATGGAGTGTGGTGAGGTATACAGTCTCAGATACTTATGCTGTCAGCTTCTGGGAGGGTAGGAGGCTAATTCATCTTTGTGTTTCTTACAGTTCACCTAAAAAGAAACTTTACCAATTATTATATGCCAGACAGTGCTCTGACTGAGGCTGCAAAGATGAATAAGACATGGTGTCTGCCCTTGAAAAGGCAAACAGTCTGGATAGAGAGATGAGCCCTTCCATGTGATATAAAAGTGAATCTGGGGGGCTAGGGAAGGGCAGAGGCTTTCTGCAGCATTGTAGCCCCTAGAAAAGGGCCCGGTGGGGTGGAGGCCTGAAAGGATTCCTGGATAATGAAAAGAAGAAGTTTCTTTTGAATTTTGGGTGTGGGGCAGGTGGTGGCTAAATAGAAGGCAAGCATTTGCTGGGAATCCCAGGACTAGGCAATCGGGGGATGGAAGAGAGCTGGTAAGAATTGTCACAGTAGAGAATATGAATTCAGAAGAGTCCTTATCCCTGCTTCATGTCCTGAAGGTCTCTTGCCACTCCTTTTTAGGAGATTCTTACAACTTTGCCTTCTTTACCTAGCAGATATTGAAATTCTCCCAATTCCCTGGATATGGCCTGAAACTTGCTCCATCTTGAAAGGGAAATGGGAAGCAAACTAATACCTGCCAGGCTATGAGCCAATGGCTTTGTATACATTATCTGCAGGTGACATTATTATCTCTCTTCTCAGACAGGAACTCAGACAGGTTTAGTAAGTGGCCCAAGGCCACACAACCTGGAAGATACATTCCTTTAGCCAGTCTGACCAATGTTCTGTGATTCTGAGTCTTCATCTCCCTCGACCACTGTGACATGGCATATTTGTGCCCTGTCCAGCACTGTCAGCAACTGTTGGGATGCCTGGCTCAATGTTCATAAAGTGTTGGGAATTCTCCAATCCAAGATCTGGCCTTGGACAGATGTGAGCTGATGAATGAAGCTGGAGGTTAGGTGGGTACCTCATTCTGCTTCTTAGTTTTTTGAGCTAGGAAGAGGCCAGATGATCCAAAGAGACTCAGATTTCCCACTTATTATCTGTGTGACCTTGGACATATTATCTAACTGCAAAGCCTCAGTTTCATTATCCATAAGAGAAAAATAAAAATATTTCTTGCGTAGTGATTGTGAGAATTAGTTACAATGAACAGTAGCTATTTTTACTATTTATTTACTATATTATTTAATATTTACCTCCCTGAACTTTTGAAATTGCAAAGGAAAGATATCAGTTGGGATGAACTTTGGAAACAGATATATAGCAGGGAACAATATTTGCAGGGAAGGGAAAGGAGCAATGTCTAAGAACTAAAATGAAAAGAATGTGCTCAGTGACCAGCGAGTAGTGGCAACACTACTGTTATGGTTTAGATCTAAAATGTCCCTCAAAAGTGTCGTGTAGGGCTGGGAGTTTAGCTCAGTGGTTCTGGAGCCTGCCTCGCAAGCGCAAGGTCCCGAATTCGATCCCCAGTACCAAAAAAAAAACCCAAAACAAAAGTGTCGTGTATTCAGAGCTGAAGCTTTTGAAAGTGATTGGTTCATGGTTGCTGAAAAAATTAATATTAAGAAGCCAAGGGGCCAGGGATTTAGCTCAGTGGTTCTGCCGCCTGCCTTGCAAGTGCAAGGTCCCAAGTTCGATCCCTGGTGCCCCCCCCCCAAAAGAAGCCAAATGGTTCACATCAGGACAATAGGAAAAAGATGGCTTGCAAGCATCTCAAGAATCAGCAAGACCCTACCTATCATAGGGGCAAAGGTGCAGAAGTGTAAAGCTTTCATTTGAGAAGAGAGTTCCTGGGCCTCCTCCTTGTTTGAGAAGGGCCACCTTGGGAATTGGTTCCCTAGGATTCATTTCACTGTGCTCAGCCATCCAGGCACTCAGAGGTGACTTCAGCCATGCCCCAAAGGGGACCAACTACTTCTCAAATTGGCAGCAGACCTTGGCATCATCCACAGGAATGCCAGGGAGGCTAGCCAAAGGGTATTGAGAGGGCAGTGTGTGAAGCTGTGAGAGAGCAGTTGAAGGTGCAGTAGATACCTGAGGAAGCTGGAGATGGCAGCAATGTGGAAAGTCTGCTGAGGAAAGTTGCAGGCAGCAAGTGGAGCCAGCTTGAGAGAGAGGTCATGTATGCTGCAACAGGAAAGGCCGTAGAGGTAGGGGTGCCCACGCTCTTTGAAGCTCACCTCTTATCACAGATTGTCCCTGGTGCTGAACATGCAGCTACAAGATTTAATGTTTGCCCTACTGGCTTTTGGTTTTGCTTTAATCTGATTTATGTCTATTTCCCTATTCCTCCCTTATGGAATGGGAATGTTTACCATGTGCCATTGTATGTTGGAAGTGCTTAACTTTCTTTCGGATTTTTATAGGGCCTTACAGCTAAGAGTTAGCCTTGAGTCTCAGAGAAGGCTTTGGATTTAGAGTTTTCAGCAATGCTGGAACTGTTGACTTCATTCGAATGCATTTCACACATGAGATGGACAAAAGTCTTTTTAGGTGCAAGGGTGGAATGTCATGGTTTAGATTTAAAATGCCTCCCAAAAGTCTCCTGTATTTAGAGGTGGGGCTTTTGGAAGGTGGATCATTGGAGTGCTGTACCCATCAATGGATTCATCATTGATGAATTCGGTAGCTGAATGTGCTGTGAGGAGGTGGGGCCTGGTTGGAGGTAGGTTACTTGGGAGCATGACTTGCAAGCATGTTTTTTTCTCCCCTAGTTCCTCCCTGCCTCCTCTGCTCCCTGGCTGCTATGAAGTGAGCAGTTTTCCACCACCATGTAGTTTTTGCCTTTTTTAAGCTCACTCTGGTTTGAATCCACTGAAACTGAGCTAAGTAAACCTCTTCTCCTTGAAGTTGTAGATGTTGGGTATTTTCTCCCAGCGATGAGAAACTGACTAATACAACTACCATCAGAAGTGTTGCAGGCTACTTCTAAATTCTCTGAGCCTCTTGGGAAGGGGGTAAAATTCCCATTATCTCATGGAAGTTGTGTCAGCATCATTTAGGAAATACCTCAGAGAGTGGGTCACCAAATAGTTGAGTAGTGGTCATCAAATTTGGAGCTTTTGTTATTCTGGGGCCAATGAGAGTGGAAAAGAGTTGGTGGCAGCTAGTGGTCTTTCTGAATTTCTAAGGAGTAATGTTGGCTGTAATCAGCCCCTCCCCAGGAATCCACTCCCCTGGAGTCAGCAGTCGGCCTATGGGGCTGGGGATTTAGTGCAGTGATTCTGTTGCCTGCCTCACAAGCACAAGGTCCCAAGTTCAATCCCTGGTACCAAAAATAAAATAAAATAAAATAATAAATAAATAAATACTTCCTATGAGTTGAGGAGGAATCTTATAATGCTCTGTCTATGAGAAGGAGCCACAGAGGTGGCAGGGCTACTTTCCCATAATTCATCTTGCTGCTGTCCATTGTGATCTGGATATTCTTCATTTATCCCCCCACATACATTTACCACCCTTTTCTGCCCTGGGTCCTGGGAGGCTGACCTCTATATTTTACTACTTTTAAAAAGCCAACATTAGAAGGGGTACAGTTTGCTGATATTTATGTTACAATTGGATGCTCACACACACACGATGCATGAGTGTGCTTGTTTCAAGCATTATTATTCAAGAATATTAGTGTATGCTTCTAGGGAGGGGAATGAGGGAACTAGCAATCTGGGATAGGAGGGACAGCTACATAAAAGTATGTACATATTTCATTATACCTTATGGGTGTTTTATCATATGCAGCAATTATTTTTCTATTAAATTTTGAAAGGGGGGGGCTATTTTGGAGTTGCTGATCAATGAGGGCCCTCACATCCAGTGAGCTTGGACTGCTATCCCTTCCTTCCTCTCCATTTAAGTGAACCACTGCCTGCCTTTTGATCAAATTTTGCAGCCTCTCCTAGAATTTCCCCATGCCATGTGGGCTTGGGGCTGCACAGAAAGCAGAAGGATGTTGGCATCAGGGACCAATGCAAGGGGTCCTGCCTTGGTCCCTAGCAGGCTTGACCTATGTATGCATATCCTGTCATCAGGGTAGTGAAGAGACACCAAGAGCAGAAATTTTGAGAGCTTCTCTATTGAGTATTGAAGAGGTGATTTGGGCAGTGAGGTCTCCAGGAAGCTGAGGTTTCCCTAGGAGATGTGGTGCCTTGCCGTGATGACCTCACCAAAACAGTATTGGGCATACATGGCAGTTATTGAAAGAATACATGAATGATGGATAAATGAACCAAATGTACAAATAAGCATTTTATGTAAGCACATAAGAACCTTGGGGCAAGAAGATAATGAGAAAGTCCAGGTGGGACGTGCAGTTCTCCAATCTCATTCTCTAATATTAGAGATGGTTATTGCAACTAATTTCAACATTGAAGCAAGAAGGGATGATGGTGAAGGTTCATTTACCTACTTATTCAACCACCCTTTATGGAGTGCCTACTTTGTGCTGGTGATAAAAACACTAATAGCACTACTCAGGGGTCTAGGAGGCCTTTGTGGGCTACCCTGGGAACTTGAGACTCATGGCGATATAAATAACAAGGCCAAGATTGACTTGGAGGATTTGTGAACTTCAAACTTATTAAAGGATTTGACCTCAACTTGATTCCAAAGACAGGAGATATTGATGAATTTCATTTTAGGATGAGCCATTATTTTTTTTTAAACTGTGTGCTTCTATTCTTTTCATTTTTTGAGCAACCAAGCTTCCCCTGACTTCAATGCTATGAAAGTCAGGTGAGACATTCTATTGCTAAAATCAAATAGCACTCCTCCATTTCTTATTTTCAAAGGAAAATCAAGCTAGCTGATAAGATTTCCTTAACTTGAAGTTTTTCCTCCCTTGAAGATTTCTTAAACTCTTGTCACCAGCTATTGCTTATTCATTCTAGAATTCTTTTTTATAACACAATAGCTAACTGATTTAGCAGAGATTTGGATCTAGTTATTTTTCTTGTCTGTGAAATGAAAGAATGGAGCTTCTCACTCAGAGATGGCCTCTTGTGCCAATGTGCCATGCTCTGCTGTTTTTAGGGGTGATTGCTGTGATATTTGACTAGGCTGCTGGGCCTCTGCTGAGATCTGGGACAATGCTACACAGGCCCTACAGCGTGGACCACTCTGTGATCCAACATCTGCCTCCTGTTGCCCTTTCCTCAGGAATTAGAGGAACTCTGAGTTGGAAGAGACTGAAGTTCTCTCTATTTTATATTCTCCAACAATTCAGAATTTTATGTGGCAGCCCCACATCTTTGAAAGAAGAGCTCTGCTACAAAGTTCTTTTTTGTGTGTGGGACATCTTAGTGAAAGTCCAGCTATTTCCCAAATCAGGAATTGGCAGAATCCTGGCCTCTTCCCTTCTACTTTGCACAGAAGAAGTAGAAAAAGTGGCAGAGAGAGAAGTCATTTATATTGGGCTTTCAGATGAACTTGGAACTTCCTTGTAGGCTGGGTGAGTTGATGAAGAAACCCAAGTCTATCAAGATAACAAAGCTATGCTGTGATGGTCAGACAGAGGCAGAGAAGGATTGCTGGGCTTCCCTGCCTTGAATTCCACTCATGAATTTCCTGCACTGTATTCAACAGGTCTCCTTTTCAAAAACCAGCTGTTTAGAGATTCCTTGGAGCAGATGTGTAGTTAAATTTTGAAGCACAAAAAACTTTTATAAATAATAATGATATTATCAGCTAGTATCTATTGGGGTCTTACAACAAATCTGACATTTGATATAATATATGGGGTTCACTATAGTGTTGAGAGAGAAAGAGAGAGAGAGACAGAGAGAGAGAGAGAGAGAGAGAGAGAGAGAAGTGAGGTCAGCGAGTACATGTGCTAAGTCACAGGCCATTTTTACCTTCTCAATTCTAAATTTGAAAATCCTTTTGGAAAGATTTTCCTGAGTTTTGCTTCTGGAACAATAATGATCTCATTGGTGGCAACAGCACCTCAATTAGCTCATCATTCTTCTTCACTTTAGATGTTGACATTAACTGGAAATTCTGTCTAATGTCAAATTTTGAGACAGTTTTGACTGTTCCCAGGGAGCATGTATGCTCCTGTGAGTGAGAAAGCCACCCCCGTCAGCCTCCCAGCATGAGGAAGGAGGACCGGACTTGCCCCAGCAGACACTGGCGAGGACTTGCTGCTGGGAAGCAGGTGAGCAGTCCCTTGGTCTAGTAGTGGTAGTGAGCTCCCCACATGACAAATTCCCACTTAGAATGCATTTGCACATAGGAACAAGGTTGCCAAAGGCAACCTAGTTATCTAACTAAACATAAAGCACACAGAACACTCGCCAAGAAGGGCATTTTAGTGTCACAGTCAGTGATGTTGGGAGATACTGCCTTGTGGTGTGAACATGTGCTTGAGTGTAGGACATGTCACTCACTGAAAATAACAAATGGTGTAGAGTGGTGCAAAGATGAACAGCATCACATTTCAGGAGCACTCCAGGTTAACTAGGCAAATATTTGTTGATAACTTGGCTACTTAACTTTCAATGTAGCAAGGAAAGAAGGCTGACCTTGAGTAGGTAGTATGTGCTCAGCACATCTTTGAATATTATCCTAATATAATCCTGATTTAATTGCAAAAAGTCTGTAGAAAGAAGGTAGAATATAGTTACGGGGAGGGTTACATCCTAGTCAATGAATAAAGTAACAATTATTTGGACTTAAAATTTGCTTTGAAAAATCCCCTGCATTGCATATAAAGACTTACATGGTTTTGTTATAACCTTGGACAGTAATAAGATATATGATACATATATTAATATGTCATATGCTATAGAGTTCATAGGGAGCATGTTATTTTATTTTATTGTTTGTGGTACTAGGGATTGAACTGAGGGCCTTCTCACAGAGCTACATCCTCAGCCTTTTTTATTTTTATTTTTTTACTTGAGACAGGGTCTTGCTAAATTGCTAAGTGCATTCCAATTCATGAACTTCGTGCCTCAGCCTCTGAGAATGCTGGGATTACAGGCCTGCACCACCACACCTACTGAGAACATGTAAATTTGGACATGAAGTCACTGGGCTTATGTGTAAAGGGCCATATATAATAAATAAATATTGAAAATTTCCTAACTAAATATATAGACTGAATTTATATATTTGAATTTGCTTGAAATTATACCCCACTGTATTATCCCAAATTTAACAATAAGGAGACTGAAAGGGCTGGGGATTTAGCTCAGTGGTTCCACTGCCTGCTTCACAAACGCAAGGACCTGAGTTTGATCCCTGGTACCAAAAAAACAAAACAAAACAAAACAAAACAAAACAAAAAAATAAGGAGACTGAATTTTAAAAAGTTAAGTGCAGTGGACCCTTGACTTATAAACTCAATCAGTTCGCAAGGGGTGGTTGAAACTCAAATCGTTGTAAGTCAGTACAGCTGATATCTGGATGTGTACCCAGGTACACGCTATAGATAACCACTGGCAGATGAATCTTCCATTAACCTAATTAATCCAAGTTATTCATATGTCAGGCCAGTTGTAACTTGAGGGTCCACTGTAGCTTGTTTAAGGAAGCAGAGCTTGTAAACTAAGAACTGTAGTTTGAACCTAGACTTTCTGATTCCAGGGCCTCTGTCTTCCTAAATGTGTTGACTTTTTTTTTTCAAAATGATTAATCTTTTTAATCTTTTAGAGGAAAAATATTCCCCATAGGAAGGCATTTCTATTCTTATGTCCATCAGTAGCCAAATGGAATTTGATATAAACTTTTCCAAAATTCCATCTTTGGTTTAATGCACAACTTTGAAAATAACTCATGAATGTACATATCAAGATGAATGTTTTGACTTCTAAATCATTGTAGAGGACATGACACTTGGAAGAATGTTTATGAGTTAGAATTTGCCTACCTTATAAAATGTGTAGTATGTTTCATATGATATCTGCACATACATAAGCATGTGGCTATGTGATTAGTATGTATAAAACAGAAATTCACAAATCTAGAACATAGTAGAAATTGAATTAATCAATCCAAATGAACAAAATAAGAAATCCAGATGAATACCAGAACTCTAGTCATTCAGTTATCTCTTGGCAAATACTCAATGTATATTACCAATAGCTTTCTTTCAACATATGAATTTCCTGAAGCTAAAAGATGGATGTGGGACAGACACAGAGGCACTGATCCATATAACGTGTAAATTTGGACTGGTGTCATATACTTAAAATCCCAAGCAACACAGATATACACATTATTCATCCATCTACCCATCTATCCAGTGGGAGATGTACTATTTACCTACTATAATAGTCACAATTTTTACATATTAAAAATGTAAAAACATATGACAGTAATTTTGGAATTTTATACTAATTTCCAAGTAGCATCAGAAATGTTTCTTATTGAGGAAAAAGTTAGAAATATTCTACTTCAGGACTTTCATCATGTCTTTTTGTATTGTAGGTCTGTTGTATATTGTCATCTTTTCATTAGCAAATCTCACCTGTTATTATTATTAAATATTATTAATTATTATTAATAGAGCTTAGTTTTTTTAACTGCTACATTCCTTCAAATAAGCACAATGCCATTTCTTTCAAAAGAGGATCAAATTCCCAATAGTGAATATCAGCATACTGTATACCTAAAATGTATCAATAAAATCAATAAAAAAATAAAGAGAGAAAAAAAGAGGGTGACAGACTTTTCATTAACTGAGGAAGAACTTCACCTTTGTGGCAGTAATTGAGGAGGTTTTTCTCTATATTTTATTTGTGCACAACAAAGGTCAAAACATTGGAGTCTATAGCATCCTCATTTGATTTCAAATTATACTGACTGGGGAACAGAAACATTAGGGTTGAGTATCACTGATAGGCACTCAGGTGTGCTGTGAATGTCACAGACGATGGAGTTACCTGTTGTGTTGAAGCCAAAGAGGAGAGGGCAGGACACAGTAAATGCGAGTACCCACACAGCTGTAATCATGAGGGCCACACGCCGGCAAGAGCCCTGGCCTGTGCCATGTTGATAGTGAACAGGCATGACCACCGCGGTGTACCTGTAAGAGGAAGTGAGAGGATGGGCATGATGAGACAGGCTGGGGACTGCTTAAAAGACAAATTGAAGAAGATTACTAGAGAAAGGATCAGGTTGGTACTTTGGCAGGAGATAGATGTTTAATTGGAAAAAGAGAGAAAAGTGTTTGTGTAAAAATGATAGAAAGATTGAGATGAGAGAGATGAGGAGCTGATTGAAAAGGATGAGCAAAGGCAGGAAGAGTTAAAAATGCAGCACCATTGGGTTTCTGGGAGCTTCTGCCTGATTGCCCAGCATAAAAAGTCTTGCAGTCACATCCCTTCATTCTGAAGACTCTGGTGCTGGTCTGAGTGTCTTTCTTTCTCCCAGTTTTCTAGATAACAGGAGAACTGTGCCCAAAGAGGTTTACTTCTTGGCTGTATCCAAATAAAAGCCCTACCCTTAGAGTGATGGTATTCTGAGTAAAAGAGGGCTTGCAAATAGAGTTGAGTAATATCCAGTGGAGCCTTATTTTAGAATCATGCCAACAAGAGATCTCTCACTCTTGTTGAACATTGTTACATTTCATGTGGCAAATTCTCACACGAATGTCCACCTGCCATGGGGCTTACCTGGACAACTCTTCCACAGCCACCTCAAGCTTAAGATGTCTGGAACAGATGCCACCAGCTCGCCCAACTCTTAATCCGTTCCACTTTCTGCCTTCTTGAAGACATCCAGACTCAATACTCAGGCCTTGTGACTTCCTTAAAATTTTTCCAGTCAGCTCTGGCTAGTCATTCTGAGCTGGCTCTAGCAGATCACTGAGAGTTATATGCTTTCCTAAATGTTTCACTGTTCAGCAGCTTCTTACAGGCTCTGGCCCAGCAAGTATAGGGAACCCTGGATCCATTTTATAAATGAGGGACAGAGATATGGAGTCCAGCAATGGTGTGGGTGGGGCAGAGCCAGTTCTCTCACCTCCCTAGCCAGTGTCTCTCCGGAGAGTGCCCCAGTCCCCCTCAAGGTCATGGACAAGTCTCTGAGACCTGCAGGGGGAAAAGGGCGTCCTCAGGTAAGTTGGAAGGGTAGTTTGTACTTGGAGAACACTGGATGCCAGAGAACTGCTTCCTTTCCTTAATTAGCTCGATTCTATTCATTGTTCTGTGTGTGTCCTATTAAAATGGACTGGGGATTTAGCTCAGTGGTTTCACCGCCTGCTGTGCACGTGCAAGGACCTGAGTTCGATCCCTGGTACCAAAAAAAATGCAGATTACTGGGCCAAGTCTCTGAGATATTGATTAGGTGCTTTTAAATGGAACCCAGAAATGTGTATTTTTTAACAAGCAAGTGCATCTTATTATCTAAGTTTGAGAAAATCTGCATTAGGGAACATTTCTGTCAAATATTCTTGTTAACTTGGGTAAGAAGTGAGAGACGAGACTACAAAGTACCACTGTTACGTTACACTTTTTCTTTTTTAAAAAACATGCTCAAATTGTTAAGAGTAAATTAGTCCCCCTCCCATCCCCCCCCTTGCCATAGGTGATTGAGGCTTCAAGCTGTTCCACAATCCGCCATCGGAGGGCACCATAATGCAGCAAGAACTCTGCCAGCTCCGCCGGGGTGAGAAGTTCACGACTCACCTTGGGGGCTGTTCAGGCTCCGTGGGGAGGCAGAGAGGGAAAACTCTCCCCCCTGCTTCCTGGAGCCTTGCAGGGATCCCAAATTCCCACCCAGGCAGCCTGTTAGCCTCTGGTTTTCTCTCCAGCGATTGGAGATGACCGATAGCAGGCGAGCACCGCGCCAAAACACCGCGAGGGCCGGGCTCGGTTTGGGCGCAGCATAGCCTTGGACCCGGGCCACCGCTGCACGCCCGCGACACGACCTGGGTCTTTCTCAATGGCAGCAGACACTGTGCACACAGTCCCGGGCGCCCGATGCCGGTCCCCTCCCCTGTGCTGAAAGTCCTAGCTCCCTGGCCTCTCTGGTGAGGATTTCTCCGCTGACCCGGGCGCTGGCAGTGTGCGTGGTGTGAGGTCCATGCGCTTTGGAGATGGACTTGTTGAATCCCAGCTCTGCCCCGTAGCTATGTGACTGTTGGCCACTAATTTGACTTTTCTGACTCAATTTCCTTGTCTCTACAATGGGGATAAATGATACCTGCCCTATAGGAATATTAATAAATATTGAATGAAGTTATCTCTGTGAAGTTTTTCAGTACAATGACTAGTGGGAATTTAACAATCAAAAGACAGTATTATTGTTGATGTTGTTATTGTTATTGTGCTAGCCCAAGGGATCAGTGATTGTTCGTATCAGCAAGTTTATGATTGTCTCCTTCTTCCTCCTGGTTATCAGGGAAAATACAGTTTATTTATTTTTCAAACAAACAAGAATATAGCATTTTCTAAGTGCCAGGCACTGCTGAAAGTGCCTTACAAATAATAATTCATTTAATTCTAGCAACCTCTGAGGTTGTTGCTGTTATCTTTACTAAACAGATAACGAAACTGACACTCTGTGGTTAACTGACTTACCTGAAGTCACCTTGCTATTAGGTGGGAGAAGCTGAACTTTTGGCCAGGCAGTGAGACTCCAGAGCCAGGGGCTGCGAGTGAAGCCCACAGCTCAGTGTCTGAGGAGGGCGGCGTGCTGTGGTAGAAAGGCCCACAGAATCCTTACTCCTGTACCAGACTGTGCCATCTCGGCCAGCTTACCTACATATTCTGGAGATGACACATCCACCTTGCTGGTGGTTGTGAGGTTAACAGTAACGAATGAAAAGCTGTGAGTGCCTGGCACACAGCACATGCTAAATAAAGGGTAGCTATTTTTATTGTTGTGGCTTCTAGACTAATGCCAAGTTAGTTTTACCACAGGTATAGCTGGGACATGAAGCCTCGCCCTGGGTACTCCATCCCTATCTCCACCAGGGAAGGAGCTACTCATTGCAATCCAGATAGCGTTAGTGGGAAAGTCAGAGGACCCAGTTTCTAGTCCCAGACGTGTGCTAAGTGGCTGTAGGACTGGCTGCAATCCTGGAGCATCCTGTTCACATGAGTTAACTGTGGTGTGCCTTCCGACACCCAGCTCACCCAGCCAGGTCTCTGTCACTTTACTGAAGGTCCCAGTACCCTAGCAGAATTTGATTTCCACCTCAGCCCTGACCCAAAGTGGAAGATGGGAGGGGTTGGTGATGAGGGTGTCTATTGAGGAAGCCCACAGAGGAGGAGGAGAAAGGCTGGCCTGGGTGAGAAGGCCTGACTCTGACTCCCTGCCTGGGTTTAATGAGCCCCAGAGCTCGGTGAGGGCTGCTTTTCACCACCTTTTATTTGGTCAGACAGGGGGCTCAATAAATCTTTAGTTCCATGGACTCCCTTCGTGGAGTTGTTGAAGGAGAAAGCTTTTTGCAAATGACTGGAAAGCCCTTTGCAAATATAAAGTGCTTATTTAGATGCAAACGAAAAATCCAAGGTGCCTGTGACTCATCTGGTACCTATTGTGCTCCCTGCAAAGATGCAGAGGCTTGCCTGTGTGATGGGTGCCATTTGAGAGCCACTTAAAGAACTCCCTGGTGAATGAATTTGGTTGCATTATTCCCAAGAGGACTCTAATTTTCACCGCTTGGTCGTGTCTCGTCTCCTGACACATTCTCAGCCGTCTGAGTTAGCTCTGACCCAGGATGCAGTGGGAGGGGGCTGACCTGCTGGGAAGGCTCAGCTCTGGGTGGGGGCCTGTGCTTGCAGACTTCCCGCTCTGCTTTTTTAAAAAAGAAAAGGCGGCTTTAATCCAAGCATCCAGAGCTATGTATGCCTCAGAATCTAATGACAATAGTATTACTTGCTTTCAAAAACGCTTTTATCGTTTCCTTTTCTTTCCTATCTCTTACCACTCTGTTATTACCGATCAGGGCTTCACGACCAAAAAATACTGAATCCATTTGGTTAAGTTTGTCAGACTGATGACTGGCATTGTGTGAAGACCAAAGGTCTGTGTGAATGACTGCATTTGTAATGAATTGACCAGCTATCTGGCATCACATGAACAGATTTTAATACTGTGTATTGCAAACTGCTGTGAAGGACAATGGCGACAGCTTTTCTGAGGCCTATTTTCAGTCCTAGAATAGGCAGGGGCCTCCAATTTGGGGCCTGATGAGGATTGGTCCATATTGAAATACGAGCCCAAAAGGAGTATCCTTCTCCACTGGGACCTAAGGCCCGGCTGGTCTCTGAGGGCTTCAGGCGTGTGAGTGCTATGCTCTCTGATAGTCTTCCTATATGGGACAGGAGCCTATTCAAACTTTATTCTATTTTTTTTTTTTGGTACCGGGGATCAGACTCAGGCGCTTGCACTTTCGAGGCAGGAGTGGAAACCACTGAGCTAAATTCCCGGCCCAAGCTTTATTTTTATTGGTAGTGTTTGAAGTGGTGAAAGAGAAGTGTGTGGTAAGCATGGCTGCTGCCAGCAAAATGATCTAGTGCAAATTAGAGAAAGAAGCCCCTTCCTGGTTGGCAAATTGTAAAATGTCATCTTCTCACAGCTGACTCAGGACTGGCAAATGAAGTGGCTGAATTCTGTTCCCCCACCTTTTTCAGGGCACAATCTCCTCAGCTTTACCCATAGCTCTGTGTGTGAGTGTGTGAGTGGGTGGGGGTATACAGACACACTCTCAAGAAGACAGAGAAGAGGCAGGCTCAGGGGAGTGAGGAGGGCTGGGCAGGATTGTCCCAGTCCTTCTCCTAGACTTTCTGCCTCTTCTTCCTTCCAAGACTAGCTTCTTACCCTCTCATGTCCTTTCTAAAGATTCTTATTTGTGGTAGGAACCATTGGCTGCCCTTAGCTATGGACCAGTGAATTCAGTTCAGTATTCTTTGTTAAAAGATTGTGTAGGCACAGTGAGGAGATTCACTGCTGATAAGGATTTAGGTCTGAGGCAAGAATCTGGGGTGCTGGAGGCTACACTAATTGCAGCCCAGTATTTCCTTGAGCAATATATATTCCCCAAACAGGTGCTAAAAGTCCAGAAATTATGTAATGGGCTTAGATATTAGAGCTAAAAATGTTATAAGATCCTTATCATTTTTTTTCTTTCTTTCTTCTTCTTCTTCTTCTTTTTTTTTTTGCGGTACTGGGTATTGAACTCAGTGTCTTTGTCTTGAGCTACATTCCCTAGCCTTTTTCTGGACATTTGTTTTGAGGCAGGGTCTCCCTAAGTGACTCAGGCTGGGCTCCAACTTGTGATCCTCCTGCCTCAGTTTCTTAGAGTTCTGGAGTTATTAGAGTGTACCACCACACCTGGGTCTATTGCTTCACTTTTTAAAAAAATTTATGGACATATCGCACAATCCACTTAAATGTATAATTTAATGTATAATTTAATTTGTTGTTATATTTACAGAATTACACAATCATATCCTCTATTTTAAAACACACTCTTTAATGGCATTTTTTCCAGAATTGTGCACATGTTCTTTAATTTGCCTTCTCAGTTGGAGAGCTAATCAAGTGATAGAGTAAAAACCCTCCAGTTGGCTGCTTGGTTTGCAACACCCCCACAGGAAGAGTTTTCATGTATATTCTTTGGCTATTGTTCAATGCTCCCATTTCAGTGTATAAAGAAAATTTGGAGCATTGCTTTTGAGAGCTTGACACTGCACTGTGAGAGGAAAGGCAGCTGGCCATTCTATGAGTTACTGGAGAAGGCATAGTGCTGGCTCAGAGCTGGCAGAATCAAACTGTAGGAATTCAGAAGGGTTTATGGGAAAGGTGGAAGCTGGGACAGACTCAGAACATGAGAAGATAGGTCTTAGGGAAACCCAGAAAGAAAGGAGGCTGAAAAGGTGAACTGAGGCCACGTAGTGGAAAACCTTGAATCCCAGACCGCAAAGATAACTTTAACTTTCATTCCATAGACCAAGGAGACACCGAAGAGTTTTGAGTAGGACAGTGGACATTAGGGCTATTGTTCCGGCGGAATAATTCTAATGATGTGAAGGACCAGTTAGTATGCTGAGGTGGGGACTCAGGTAGGAAGTCATGGGAGTCTAAAATAAGAAGGGTCAGCAAGTAAGGAAAGAGAGAGACACATCTGAAAACATCATGAAAAGTACAGTCTATAGGCACAGATGTGCATGAGATTAGAAAGAGAGAAGAGTCAAATAAAACCTAATATTCTAGGATGAAGATGGTACCTGTGAGAGGCCATCAAATTAAGATGGTTTGATTTTTAAACTTTAAAAAAAACAGTGAAAAAAATTATAGAAGCTATAACATAGGATGTGCAGGCAGTAATGTGATTTGAAATTCAGGGGAGAAGGTAGGGATAGATGGAGATTTGGTAAGATTAACACAAAGCTTAATTTAGAGTCAAATAGACATGAATTCAAATGCTGGCATGGTCCCAGACTAGCTATGTGATGGCAAGTTCTTTAAGAAAATAAAGATTATAATAGTACCTAAGCGTTGTGAAAGTGCAATGAGTTTGTGCATGTCAAAGCTTAGCACAATGTGGTAAGTTCCCGGTAAATAGCAGGTCTTCTTTGGAATCACCTCTTGGAGGTGTCACATGGATGGATAATATTACTGGAAAAAGAGAAGAGGTGGAAGGAGAAGGCAGATGTTGAGGATTCAGAGAAAAACAGGTGGAAAGCTCTTGACTGGCAGTGGAAGCCACGGGCTCCCCAGGGACCTCTTTTCTCCATGTCTCTCAGTCAGTGTTCTTTCTTGAGGCCAATCTCAGGCTCAGGAGGGGGAGAGTGGAAAGAGGAGAGGAAGACAAAAAAGAGGGTCCAGGACAAGGTCAGTGGATCTGGGTACTTTCAGGGATAGAAAGTAAGATTTTTGAAATCCATTTCAGAGCCCAAAAGCAACTTTAAAAATTTACCTGTTTTTCTCTATAAGGAAAATCTATAGATCACAGCCATGCTTCCTAAAGTTGCTTTTCTCTCTCGTCTACTTTTCTCCCCTCTACTGCCTGGAAAACACACTCATGCCTTGCCGTTCTTTCTCCCACCTACTCTCCTTTCTTCTCTTCAACAAACAAATAAAACGAGGACAGAATTTCCTACCAACCAAGTCAGCTCACCTATTAGGCTCCCCCTTTCCTTCCAATTAGAAATCACAAAAGCCCCCAAAGGATGGTGGAAAAGCAAACCCAGAATTCTGTTTAGAGGGCCGGAGGAGAGGAAAGCCTAGGAAATCTTGTAGAATAACTATTTCTCTCCTGTCACAGGGGCTCTTCTCAAACCAGAATCTAAAAGAAAAAGAGAGGAAAGAAAATGTCCCCATGGCAAGTCTTACTTAAAGGTGACCCCAGTGCCGTACATGCAAAGCTTGTGCCTCCTGCTTTCTTTTTGGGTCATCTCTCCTAAGGAGGAGAATCCTAGCCCTACCTGTCTATGCTGATGGCACAGAGGTTCAGGATGCTGGCTGTACACATCATGACATCCAGGGTCACAAAAACGTCACAGCAAATGCGGCTGAAATTCCAGATTCCACCTGTCACCTGCATATTGAAGACAAAAAGCATGTCAGTGTTTCTCCTAGCACAGGGATGAAAACCCAGTCAACCATTCTGCCTTCCCTATGCAGCTCAGCATAGACACTGACACACTCTTTCTCCTCCTGTGGTTCCCATAGTGTGGATGGATATGGAGGGAAGACCAGGATGTCTAAGACGTGTTGGTAGAGAAAGGACAAATTTACAGAGTGTTGGTGCTGGAAGGGATCTTCCAAATCAATTAACATAGAGTTTCCCAGCGTGGTCCACAGTAGGGGTATCCACTAAAGATGAGATTGCTGAATCCTCTGCAGACTGAGTGAGTCAGAATCTCTGAATCTGGGGCCCATGAATCTTCGTTTAGAAATAAATACTCCTATACATACCAAGGTTTGAGATTACTGTTCTAGTTCAAATTCAGGGATGCTCATTGTGACTAAGTGATATGCCCACAGATGCATATTGGTCCACAGATGCATAGCTGGTAGTAAAAGAGTTTGGGTGACTGCCCAATGTGTGTATTGTGCCAAAACTGCCTCTCTGAAGCCCTCCACCCAGTAGAAAGCTCACCATGTACCCAGGAAATAAGCTAAGAACACATTTCTCATAAAACATAACTCCAAAGGGGGAAAAAAATCTATCTGGCTTCATGTTTTAAAGCTTGAAAACAACCCAAAACAACAACTATAAGAACTTATATAAAATAAGTCTGTGCCAGTGTGACTGCTTTTGACCCCTTATCACCCATGTCCCAGTCACCAAGAGGTCAGGGAAAGGTTGAGTCCAGGGGTTTGGAGAGGAGCCCGAGTTCTTTCTGCAGCTCTCAGAATGAGTGAGTCTGGCCCTAACCTCTTGCCTTGACCCATGTGTTCCAAGCTCCATCACTTCCTCTGGGTAATATTTATAAATAATCAGTAATTTGGGGAACTTAATTTATATTCTGTCACATTTCTGTTTTATTTTATAACCTAACTGGACCAGGAAGGTGTGTCAGGGAAACTGTCACTTTCAGAATGTCCACAGACTTCCACTCATGGGCCCTGAGGCTTTGGGCATTTGTCAGCCTCCTGCCTATGGGGCTGCCATTCTGGGAGACCCTGGTTCTCAAGGAGAAACCTGTGAAGCTCTGTGCCTCAGGCTGTGGCTGTGGCTGTGCATTCATGATGTCTCTCCTGAGCAGGCCCAATGGCTATTTCAGAAGAAGAATGGAAAATAGGCACCGTGGCCTCTGAGGTAGCTTATGTAAAAGAGGTGTTGACCAAATGTGCAAAAGACAGTGCTATGGGGCTGCCCAATTTTTCTCATCCAAGACACTTCTGATATGACCAGCTGTTCATTCCTGCTCTATTCCAATAAAACAGGGACCTGGAAGGCTGTCTCTTCTCTTTCCCTAACAATACTCTTTCCTTTTCCAATACTCTTTCCTCTTTCCCTAACTCTTTCCTTGGATTTATTTCCTTTTCAGTCTCCCATTTTATATCTATATTTGGTCATCTCCAGCCTCTATTTTGAGAAGTGCTGACCAAAGATTTTTTTGTTTAAAAGCAATAACAAGAAGTTAAAACAAATGAAGAAGCCATCATTTTTGTTTGCTTGGTTGTAGGTTTACTTTCTTTTAGTTTAAACATTTGGCTATATAAAAACAAAAGCATAAGGGTCGGGGATTTAGCTCAGTGGTTCCGCCGCCTGCCTCACAAGCTCAAGGACCGTAGTTCAATCCCCAGTATCAAAATAAAACAACAACAACAAAAAACAAAGGCATAAAATGAATTTATAGGAATTTTGAGAATGAAAAGCTTAAAAAAGGAGATAGAACTAGTCTGATCTAAAGAGTCGTTCATAATCACAGCGATTTAAGGGAGACAGGGGAATGATAGATGCTTTTGCTTATTATTACATGGGACTATTGTGTGCTATAAATTCTCCCCAAAGTGGAATTCTATATACTAAATTTCATTTCCACATATCTACTATGCAATTATTTCTTTTCTTTTTTTATGCAATTATTTCTTAAATTGGGGACAAACTTGCTTTTTTTTGCATAATTGTGAGCAAGAGTGTTGAGGGTAGTAGAGGTGAGAGACAATAGTTAGGACAATAGCCAACCCTGGTGCTTGCTGGGTGCTGATTCACTCATTCATGCATTTAAAAAGCAAGTCCTTATAAAGCTCCTAATACTCAGTCCATAAAAGGAGAGTATATTATGTGTGTTAAGAGGTTTTACCAAAAGTACTTGCAGGGTCTACTCTTGAAGATGTCACAAAATAACCAGAGAAGCAAGGCGTCCCTGAATACAATAAAGATCAGCATGAGAGCCTAATATTGTTAATACAAACTAACATTTATTGAAAATCTACTCTATATGGGTCATCCACCCACCTGACCCATTTTAGGAATTTCTATAACTTTGAAACTTCAGATCTTGAAAACTGAATTTATTTTTTGCTGTATGTGCTCTTAGAGCTTTCGAGTGTCTATGTCTAATTTGATTGCAGATTAAATGACTGTTACTTAGCCACCTGGATAATAGCAAGAACATTCACTTGTTCTCTTCAAGAGGGCTCAGGCTTGCAAGTATATCTGAAAGACTAAATGGTGCCTGATGCACTCTGTATTTGTATTAATAGCTAACATCTATTGAACGGTTACTAAATGTCTGGTGTCGTGCTAAGCACTTTATATACATGGCCTCAAATGCTGATTATAATCCCATGAGAGGTCTCTGAAGAAATTGCATCTATCTTAAAGATTCCACAGACTGTTTGTCCTTGGCTGAGTGATTGTGACTGTGGAGAGCTGGAATATTGCAGGTCAAGACCAAAATTATCTTGGCCTATCCTTAGGCCCTTTAGAAAAATAGCCATTTACTTTTAACCTTGCATCTGACCTAATATTCTCATGACGATTAGGTAAAGCTCTTGGAATGTATCACTAAGCTTAGATGACTGTTAGCCTCCATCAGCCCTAAAGCTAAGGATCTTGTATAATATTCAAAAACTATAGAATAGATCTAGAAGAGATTTCCCTGCTTAGCTGTAACCTGCTTACCTGATTCCCTCACCAACGAATTTGTTCAGTGTTTTGATTTATGGCCTTCTTTGTTGTATGCTGTAAAATTCATGTAATCTCATCCATGGCAGAACAAGTCATTTAGGGTAACTTTTTTATTTTTGGTACCAGGGATCAAACTCCAGACCTTGCGCTTGCAAGGCAGGTGGCAGAACCATTGAGCTAAATCCCTGGCCCTAGGGTTCGGCCATGGCCACTCATTTTTGGCTCAGAATAAATCATTTCCTTATTTTCTTTAAAGCAGAGTTGTTATTTTACATTGACAGGATTATCATTATCCTCATTGCAGAGAATGAAATGAAAACTTAGAGAGGTTAGCACATTGTCAAAGGTCACATTGAAGGCTAGCAGAGACACAGGCACTAGAATGTAGATTGTCTGTACCTCCTATGGGGAGGCATCAAGAGAAGAGGGGCAGCTACTGGAAAGAGATAGAAGTGGGCAGACACCAGGGGAAAGAAGACAATCAGGTGCTCATCAGAGATTTTTGTGTGACAGACTATATCATTTCCTTTCTAGAGAATGAGAACTTGCCTGGTTGCCTTTATCCCAGGGTTGCATAAAACAGTGCAAAAGGCAATAAGGGCTGCTGCCTTTGGGGCCTAAGAGAAAGAACACACAGGGCAGATTTCTTTACTGCCTCTGTTAAGCCCCTAGGTGCCAAAGCCTTTAAGCTGTCCTCTGAATTCTAGACAACCACTGGAAGGCAGCTGCATTCTCTTGGTCCTCTTTGCCTGTCTCCACAATCTGCCATCAAAATTCCAATTTTCTCCTTGATCTTAGTTGAGTGTCAAGAAGAAAACAACCTGATTAGCTGATTAAAGTAATTCCCACTAAGGTGCCATCACTTAGCCATCCCTGGAGCTTACTCATTAAAATGATTCTCTAATTGCTGGGACTTGTAATGGAAATGTTAAAGTGTTCATTTCTTATATATAAATATATATATTTCAAGTACAAATATATAAATATTTTAACATATATATAAAATAGATAACATATGGTATATGTTTGTGGTGCACCCCTCAACACCATATAAATAATAGTAAGGGACCAATAAAGAGCAGCAAAATACCAAGAACATGCCAAGTAACCCTTACACATAATCAGCAACCCAGCGAGGTAAATATGATTTCTAACTTATAGGTAAATGGAGACATAGGGGTTATTTGGCTAAAGACAGATAGCTAGTAAAAGGTGCTGGATTTTAAACCCTTTAATATCAACCAGTAGTCTGTCTCTCAAAGGTCAGCCTCTTGAGAAGAGTACAGTTTAACTCCATTCTAATCTCATAGGCGGGAGAAGAGCTGACATTTGTCCATATGTTTACCCATATATTGCTATTTATTGAGTGCCCATTATATGCCTGATATTGGGCTTGAGTGGGTGTGTTGAAATGAATTATAAACCTATTTTTGTTCCTAGGGCCTCAGTATACAGTGTGTGTGTGTGTGTATATGGATGTGTGTGTGTGTGTGTGTGTGTCTGTGTGTACGGGTATAATGGAATTGAGGGCCCAGTAGATAGATACTAAGAAAATCACTATGATATAACATGTAAGTGCTGACAGTAAGATAAGTACAAAGTGTGGGAGATCATGAAAGGTAAAGTGATTTTTGAAATTAAAGCAGAAAAAAGTAAAAAAAGAAAGCTGATTGATTTAAGCTCTTTAGAGACATAATTCTTTCTCCCAAATTCTAATGAATAACTCACTTCAGAATTATAGGCAGCCAGGTGGTGTTACTCTCACTTGCTAATGAATGTAACTCCCTTTGGCAATACAGAAGGTGGGAGTAAGCAAGAAAGTATCTTCAGGTACTGAAGTTGGCTATTGATTTTCCACAGACACAGCCTAAGGCAGCATTTCCCAAATCACCTGAGGCTCTTGTTTAACAAATGATTCTCAGCCCTCACTCCAAATACTAAGACCGGTAAGT